TGCTGATCGTTCAAATCATCAAATTCAAAAATTCGAAATAATTTTGTAAATGAAGTTTTGATTTTGAAAAATGGAAAAGAAATTTTTTGTTGAATAAAAAAAATTGATTAAAAATTAAACAAAAAACAATTCTTTTGATAAGAAAAAAATGAAGACAAATCTTTTTTTAGGATGTGTGTGCGTAAGTGAAATATAAGCCCACACCTCCTGATTCGTACTCACACCCTCTTCATCATTACCCAAAACTTCTTTTACTTCGGGCTGCATTTTATCATCTAAACCTTCATCATCAATATCATCAAAAACTCAGGCTGATCTTCGTTCATTAACAATACTTTCTTTAACTAAAACAGAAAATCCAATATGTTCATTTCTTCTATGAGCAAAAATACAATCAGTTTTATTTACAACTGGAACATTTGCTTCAATAATAACTGATAAATCATATTGTTTATCATCAACAAATGAAAGACATTTAAATATAAATCTATCACGAAAATTAGGTTAATTATTAACTCAATATTTTCTTTCAATTTTTTTTCTTTATTTGGCATCATTGTCTTCTCTTGAATTAACAAATAAATTATAAATATCTTCTTTAAATAATAAAAATTGTGAATTTTGTCGAGATTCAAATACAAATAATTGTGTAAAGCATCGACGTTGTTCAATCGAGAATTCATTGTATCAATAACATATGTATATCTTTTATATATCGATGAAACAATAAAGTTGTTAATGAAATACTAATTACAATTATAGTTAGAGAGTAACTTAAAGGAGATGAGACGAATATGTTTCCAGTTGCAGTGCTCTCATGAAATGAGTTTAATGCAATGTTTTTCATGTTTGTATTCTCTGAGTATTATTAAACAGTGAATGTTTAACATTCTCTAACAAAATATAGTAACAAATAAATGAAAGAGTTCTTCCATCATTTTCAATATCAGAATGTAATGTATGTATGCTATCATCGTGATTCTGCTCGAAGACAAATAAAAGATGGATCAAAACCAAGTCAAGAATCGGCTTGATCACATTACAAATTTTAACTTAAAATACAACGTGCATGATACAGAGTTAAGTGAAGTTATAAAAAAGATAAAATATTTAGTTTATATTAACAAAGGAATACATACAAGATAATAGTATGATTTCATATTTACTAATAAAATGGTTATATCTATCTATGTAAATAGTTAATCACCCACATACACTTGTGTGTGCATAACCGACTAGCCATGTACACGTGTGTACATAGATACTTTCTTAAGTTGATATCTAAAACAGTAGATAAACAAATATTCATTTCTTTTATAAAATTTTATTCTAACACATGGCAACGGCAAACAATAAAAGAAAATGTTTTATATGTGACAGAGAAAACAATACGTATGCTTGTGAAGGTTGTTCAAAAAGATTTTGTTCCAAACATATACCAGAACATCAACAAAAACTAAATGAAGAATTACATCATACTATTAATGATTATAATGAATTCAAAGAAAGAATTAATGAACATAAACAAAATCCTCAAAATCATTTATTAATAAAACAAATTGATCAATGGGAAATAAGTTCAATTGAAATCATTCAACAAAAAGCGAAATATTGTAGGGAAATTATCATTAAATCATTACAAACATGTATTAATGATATTGAAAATAAATTTAGTGACTTAAATACACAAATACAACAACTTCAAAAAGCAAATGACTTTAACGAAATTAATTTAAACTATTTAAAAGATCAATTAACAGGAATAACACAAGAATTAAATAATCCATCAAACATGTTAATTCAACAAGATTCACAATCTTTAATTAATGATATTTCAATTATTTTATCAAAAAGTAAGTTTTTAAGAAATAATCTTTAAAAGAAACATACTAATTTTCCATGAAATTATATTGAAAAACTGTAATATGATGAAAAATAATAATGAAGAAGAGAAAAAAAACTTGAGAATATTATTGATTTATTTAATCAGTAATAACAAAATTGATAGAAATAGAAAATTTAATTTATTTGTATGTAAAAAAAAAGAAAAGAAGGATGGAATATGAAATAATATTAAATTCAAAAATGAGTTTTTCTTCAGTATTTCAAAAAAGATTTAATTGATAAAAAAAACAAAACTTTCTTGTTCTTTTTTTCATCAACATCTATTGTCTTCATTACTTTCTAGAATCAAAATTCAACAAATGGAAACAAAATGCCATCATCGTAGCTGGTGGAAATGGAGATGGACACAACTTAAATCAACTCAATCGTCCTGTTGGAATGTTTATTGATAAAAACAAAAATATTTTCATTGTTGATTGCGGAAATTATCGTGTTGTTGAATGGAAATATAATGCAAAAGAAGGACAAATCATTGCAGGTGGAAATGAAGAAGGAGATCGAATGGATCAATTGAATTGCCCAACAGATGTGATTATTGATCAACAAAATCATTCGATCATCATTGCTGATTGTGATAACAGACGAGTGATTCAATGGTTGAACCAAAATCAGCAAATTCTCATCGACAATATTGACTGTTGGAGCTTGGCAATGGATAAACATGGATTTCTTTATGTTTCTGATTGGGAGAAGAATGAAGTGAGACGATGGAAAATGGGAGAATACAACAACGAAGGAATTATAGTGGCAGGTGGAAATGGTGAAGGAGATCAACTCAATCAGTTCAATTGTCCAGCTTGTATCTTTGTTGATGAACATCAATCTATTTATGTATCAGATAGCAACAATAATCGTGTAATGAAATGGAGAAAAGATGCAAAAGAAGGAACAGTTGTGGCTGGAGGGAATGATCAAGGAGCAAATCTCAATCAATTGTCTACACCTGAAGGAGTATATGTTAATGATTTGGGTCAAATCTATGTGGCAGATTGTGATAATCATCGAATAATGCGTTGGTGTGAAGGAAAGGAAGAAGGTGAAGCTGTTGTTGGTGGAAATGGTGAAGAAAATCAATTGAATGATCCTATGGACTTATCTTTTGATGATGAAGGAAATCTTTATGTTATTGATTATTTTAATCATCGGATTGTAAAATTTGAAGTAGTTTTGTAAATGCAATTTTGGAAGAAAGAAAAAAAATATTTTATTGAATAAATAATCGAAAAATAAAAGGAAAAATAAAGTTCTATTGTTAAAAATCAGTGAAAAGAATCGATTAAAACTTGAAAATAAAGACATGTTTTGAAGAAAGAACGAAGAAAAATCTTTTTTGTCTTTTTCTTCAAAATTGAATTTTATATGATGATTTCGATTAGACGATTCGAATACATAAATGAGGAATTCTTCATCTTTTGTTAATTTTTATTGAATTTTATAGGAAAAAAGAAAAGAAGATTTTATGTTTTACAAAAATCTATTTGAATATTTTTATTTGTTTGATTTAATACAATTTAGGAATCGTTCAAAATTGAAAAGAGATGTTTTATGGAAAATTGATAATGAAAATCGACATGAAATGAATCTTGTTGAGCAAAACAAATGTTGAAAAGATTTTTCTTTCTTTAGAAAATCAAATTATTGAAATTGAAAATTTTCTTTAATCTGATATTTTGATGAAAACATAATTTTAAACTCAGTTTTATCTTTTTTAATAAAAAAAAATCAAATTATTTATTAGTTTTAAATCGATGAAGTTGTTTGTAAAAAATTTTTAAAGTTAATGAAGAAATGTCAGAAATGGGTTATTTATCTAACATATATTTGAAATTATATTGATAAGATGCGAATAAAAACGAAGATTTAAATTGTAAAATCCTCGAAGAAGATCAACTGATGATATATATTAAAAAATTCATTAGCAGGTAATTCTAAAGTCATTTGTTGTTGTATTTTATTTGTAGACATTTGCAAGCATCTTCTTTTGCCCTCACAAATATTTATATTATATGCACAGGTTACAAAATAACATTCTTGCGCAATAGTTCGTAGGAATGAAATCTTTCTATTTTGATCAAACAATATTAACATCATATTCATGAATCTGTCGTTAGTTTTATTATCTATCGACTGTAATTATGACAAGGTTGTAATGCGAGATGGATGAGAAGAGAGTCAAAAAAAATCATGGTAGTTCCTCTATTAACAGTCTGAACATTAATGACTTCATAGAATCTTCACTGTCTGTAATTGGTCATAATTTTCTACTGATATTTTACTGTTCTTTTCCCATGAACAAAACTGATTCTTGTGCGTTAGAAAAACTTTGGCATTTTATTGTGTAGCATTAACTTTCATAACAATGAATTAAATATCATAAACTATATTATTGCTCATTTCTTCTTTCATCAGGCAGTTCTTCAGAAATCCTAATTGTAAATACAAGTACCAGTGAAATCATAGATATGGAAGACATGACTGAGAAGTAGTTTTATTATAATTATTTGAGAACTACACTTTTATGGAGATTTCTATAAGAAAAGATGTGTAATAGAATGAAAAGACACACAATTTTTCAATTTTCATACGAAACATAAAGGAAATCGACGATCTTGACAAAATCCTCCGTGATAGCCGTGTCTTAGGCAACACTGATGAACAGTTGGGCCATCCCTACATGGGCCGCAGACACGTACATAATATTGAGCCATAGTCATTCCCATAACTAAAAGACAGAACAAGAGACAATTGTATTGTTTCTTGAAAACAAATGACTTACCCAAGGTTAATACAAGTACAATAAGAAGTAGACGATTCATGATATTGATATGTTATAATGAAATCTTGAAATAATTTCTCTCTTTATATATATACACACACGAGTAGATGGCATCAACTGATTTCTTACCCATCATATTCCCATACACGTAAGACTTTTCTTTGTATTGGCAAGAGAAGAGTAATGCGCAACATTGGGATGTATTTTTTCTCCCATTCTTGTCAGTAGCCATGAGGGGAAGGGAGAGTCCCACGTTTACGCGAATATGATACACAAGATTCTCCCGTTCTTATACCACCTATTCATGTATGTATATATAAAGAGAGAAATCATTCGAAGATTTCATTATAACATAATCTCAGCATCCAACAAACTATAACATACCAATACCATGAATCGTGTACTTCTTATTGTACTTGTATTAACCATGGGTAAATCATTTTTCTCAAGAAACAAACAAATTTTCTATTGTTCTATATTTCAGTTATGGGATTGATTATGGCAAATGATTATACACCTGTCTGTAATACGCCATGCAGAACTAGGGGACATGTTGCCACATGTTGCAGAAGCCATGGATACAACGGGGGTTGGTGTTCCAATGATCGGTGGGCAGTATGCTACGATTGAGAATATCACAGTTGAGCATCTACACATCCTATACTGTCGTGCTTTTTTCTTTAAAATAAATTTCTATGTTTTACTCTACTTATAATTATTTCTTTATACAAACATATTCATAAAATTGTAGTTTTCACATAATCATAATAAAAGATTTTCTGAAATAAATAACATTGAATTAATGAAAACGTATATCGAGAACATTATGTTTTGCACCACTTCGTCATTGCAAAGTCTATGCAAAAGGAAAATAGTCAAACATTTGTGATGGACTTCAGAATGATTAATAGAAGGAGATTGTAACGAAAATATAAGATTATCAGGATAAGACAACAAGATGATCGTATTCAAGCGAAAATTTATTCATTGACGAGAAAACATTTAGTAATATGCTAGTTTTGTAGCAATCCTTGTTAGTAGAAAAGTTGAAAGAAAAATTATTATGCTTGTTATACGATCTCTACAGTGAAGTTAGCCACGTTTTAGGCATTCTATCCCAAACAAGTAGGGTGTGAGTGTGAATATCAACTCATCTGTTCTTTATCACAAATATGAAAGGTTTGAGTGAAAAAATTTTTATTCTGATTATTTGAAAACTACAATTCCATGAATATATTTATATAAAGAAATAATTATAAGCACAGTAAAATATAAAGATTTATTTTGAAAGAAAAATAGCATGACAGTATAGGATGTGTAGGTGCTCAGCTGTGATACTCTCAATGGTAACAGTGTGCCCATTTCGTTGCCCCACACCATCCTCGTCGGAATCCATGGCTTCTGCAGCATGTGTTTACAGCACCACGAGTTATGCATGGATTATCGCAAGCAGGTGTTCGGTAGAAACCTTGTGCCGCAATCATTCCCATAACTAAAATATAGAACAAGAGACAATTATATTGTTTCTTGAGAAAAGATGACTTACCCATGGTTAATACAAGTACAATAAGAAATACACGATTCATGGTATTGGTATGTTATAGTTTGTTGGATGTTGAGATTATGTTATAATGAAATCTTTGAATGATTTCTCTCTTTATATATACATACATGAATAGGTGGTATAAGAACGGGAGAATCTTGTGTATCATATTCGCGTAAACATGGGACTTTTTCTTCCCCTCATGGCTACTGACAAGAATGGGAGAAAAAATACATCCCAATGTTGCACATTATTCTTCTCTTATCAATACAAAGAAAAGTCCTTACGTGTATGGGAATATAATGGGTAAGAAATCAATTGATGTCCTTTGTAAAATTCTCCCATTCTTATATCACCTGTTCGTGTATGTATATATATAGAGAGATTATTTCAAGATTTCATTATAACACAATCTCAACATCCAAAAAACTATAATATATCAATACAATGAATCGTCTACTTCTTATTGTACTTGTATTAATTATGGGTAAGTCATTTGTTTTCAAGAAACAATACAATTGTCTCTTGTTCTATATTTTAGTTATGGGAATGATTGTGGCACAAGATTATGTAGGTGCCTGCGGCCCATGTAAGCATGATCTAGCTGTTCGTAAATGTTGTCAACGTCACGGCTATGTGGAAGGAGTTTGTCAAGATGGTCGATTTCCTCTATGTTTAAAATGAAAATTGAAAAATTGTGTGCCTTTTCATTCTACTACACATCTTTTTCTTATAGAAATCTGCATAAAATTGTAGTTCTCAAATAATCATAATAAAATTATTTCTCATTCATCTTTCTCATAACCATGATTTCACTTGTACTTGTGGTAGTAATTGGATACTTAAATGCATATGTACGAAGTAATTTATAAGATTCTCTTTAATCCAACAAAACTTCTCTGTTAACGTTTTCATATATGTTGTATGCCAATCATACATTTCAGGGCTATTTCTAAATTCTAGGTATTAGTAAATAATTAGAAATTTGATGACTAAGATCATTCGTTACCATTAAAGCACGAATGAGAGAGATTATGTTGTTTTGCCGTTATAATTTTGACGACGTAGCTTTTAATATCTATTAATTCGAATGAAACATTGTTATACGTGCAAAGCAAATAAATTTTGAATACTAGAGATGGATACACATTGCTGTTGCTCGCCAACAATTTTAACATAAATCTATATTCTATAACAACTACATTGATAATGTATTATCACGAAAAAAAAATAAACAAATCTTTTATACTCGTATTAGATGTTAAGACTTTGAAAAGAATTGCAAAAGCTTATCTACCTATACATATACCACACTCATTGCATGGAAATTTTTATCATACAGTATCGAATGAATATTTTCCTTCTTTACTACAATAAAACATATACGAGACTTCCCTCTAAAAATATTGGAATATTTATCTATTTCAGTCGCTTTTCTAATCAATTTAATAGTTGTGACTCTTACTGTCGTGTTATACCGGCATCAGAGTGATTGCATAAACGATAAACAATCTAATGGTCTTTATTTTATTAAAAAAATGATAAAAAAGGGCCTATATGTATCATATAAAATTTTAGCTGAATATTGACTCAAAGAAAGTGAAAAACCTTCACCACCATTCGAATAAATCCCCAAAACCCCAACCATGAATATCATTTTGACTTTTCTTCTCGCTGGTCTTTGGACGAACAAAGTTGACACATGGTCGATTCGTATCACAATCATGATCATTTCTACATCTTTGCCATTCATGCTGTGCACTGGTACTGTCTATATTTTGAGTATAACACCATGATATGCCATCATTGTTTCGTCTTTCTTTGACGTAAGACCAGCAATAATCGTTGTAACAGCCACATTGTCTTCCATTGCAGTCACCAGCAATTGTCTCTTTCATTAGCATTAACAAAACGACCAGGACAGTGGTTAAGAATAAAGGAAAACCAAATTTGAATATCATGATTGTATTAAAGTTCTTTCAATAAAAAAAAATAGTTGATTTACTGACTATATAGAATATAAAATAAAAGATTAATAGTTTTTTACATACTTGATTATTTGTTTGCAAGAGATAATGATAGTTAATGAATCAACTATACACATTGATTTCAGCTTTTATATTGGAAAATCTTTGATTGATAGAATACTCTCCCATATTACAACGATTTTTATCATCATGATTCATGAATGTATGGGACTTTTTTATTCCTGACAACATGTATCGAGGAGAAGAGAACGCAAGATGGGATGGGAGAAAAACTGACCTTTTTATTTTCTTCTCATAATCAACCAGAAGCTATTCTCTACATTACATCTTGAAGGCAGGTAAATATGCATAGAAATACGTACGTGTTTTTCTTTAACATTTAGAAAGTCTAATATCATGTAAAATAGTGCAACACCCATCGTATATTTAATACACTTCATCAACATATTTTAATATTTATTTATCTTTTGAAAACAAAATTCGATAATTTTTTATGCATGACATTCACTTTAAATTTATTTGATACAAATCTAAATGATTGAGAAAAGTAAATAATAATTTGTTACAGTATCTGATCATTTAGCTTTATGAAAAAAACAATCTACTGATTTCAAATCAGATTCTTGATTTAAACAAAAAATCCAAGATTGTTTTAAAATTTCACTCTTGACTATAGTAATGTTTACATATAAAATAAATCTATTGAATTAAGACTCTTAGGAGTGTAAATTTTATAATTATCTGTTACTCACATTCACACCCACTGTCAGCAAGCTTATTTTATAATAAATCTTGGTCAAATCAATTAGAAATACATTCATTTCAGTTAGTTTTATTAAGTAAAGACAAATTACAAAAGCTGTAGCATAAATACACAATGAAAAATTTGCAAACAACAAATAATTAGTAAAATATAATATATAAGAATGCTGAATAGATTTAGAAGCTTAGCAATAATTTTTGATTATATATATATATCAAGCGTATTTTGCAGCGTTACATCATCAGTGATATCATCTAACGAGAAAAATTAAGTAGAATATCTCAATAGGTATATCTAAGAGAACACAAAATAAGAAAAAAATACAAGTTTGAAACTCCCAGTATCATCTGAGTAGTGCTTATATAAATTTGAAGGTAAAATAAGTTCTGAGATGATATAACTAGTAGCGATAATTAAATATTCTCAGTTAACTTTTTTTAGTAGCAAAAATTAACTAAAAATATTTAATTGTATTTTCAATCTCAGAGCTTATATCACCTTCAAATTATATAAGAGTAGTATAGCACTTACTCTCTTGTAGTCATTCTCGTATGCAGATAAATGTCAATTATATTCTGTTGTTGAAATAAGTCTAATTAGTGTCCAATAAATGTATCATTGTTGTTGAGTAATTTAAAAGCAAATTAAAATTTTTTTAATTAATTTAACAAGATAAGGTACGATCAAGTAAATGACAATTGGTAAACTACCATATACACCCAAAAATATTGTTAATATTTCTAATGCATCAGATTTTTGATAATATGTATAAGTACAATAACTTGGAAAGCAACTATCAAAATATCTTTCATAGGATATTTTACGGGACCATGATTCGATAAACATTTCATATGCTAGTTTTTCAACAGTGTCAGCGACAGAGAATCGTGTTCTTTGCGCATTCAATCCGATAGATTGATTCGACATTACCGATGTTGTGTAAAAAGATTTTCGAAGGATGTTAATGCAGTCGACCAAATAGAAACAAGTTAAAGATGAGAAAAGTAGTGTTTCAAGTTGATGACAACCAACGACTAAACCATCAATAGTAATCAAACCACTACCTATATTTACTTGTCGTGGTTTTCGACATGTTCGTAAAGTAGCACATGAACAACTTGTATTCTCTTGTGTATTGCGAAGCGTAATAGGCACAGTGAGGAAATTAGTATCGCTTTTATCATCTGTTTCAACTGCAACTAATCTCCAAGCGTCTGAAGATATATATAGTAAAGCATTTCCTTGGATAGTCGAACGAATAAAGTCTAACATATGCGCGAATGTAGCTTTTGTTTTATTTTCGAATTGATTTAGTATTTCATCCATTTCAGTGTTAAATAGACTGCGAGACATTAGTTGATTAGTAAACAAAGTTGAGATAAGAAATACATCAATATTATTGTTAGCATTATCTTTTGCCAAAGAACAAAGTTGCTCCAAGGATTCCATGAAAGATTTCCCCCAAAGTAAGTAGTCTTCACCGTAGCTCGTGAATCCACCTGTATCTGTTGTTAAACCTGCAAATATAATTATTCGAATACTCTTAAAAAAATTTCTATTTAGGTCTTTTAAAGTTTAGCTAATCAAATTTGCTTTTTCATTACCGTGAAAAATTTTATAAAAACTAGAAGTTTTCTCCTATTTGATTTTCTTCGAAATAAGTATAATTCATATTAGATTTGTTGAAACTTTATCAAAAAAAGAAACCATTTTTTAATCCGAAAGTCTTGAATATTTATTTTATTAACTGATTGAATTTTAGAAAGGCGAATAAGAAAATTAACACCTTTGTACTTACCGTTTACCAATAACATGCGCACCCGGTTAATATCACATGCTTCATGAAATGAATTGACTTGTAATTCAGTGATAAATTTTTCATAAGGAATTGATGTATGTGTGCATGGACAACTAATATCATCTGAATAGAGGCTTAATAATTGTTCATATTCATTAAACGAATGTAAGAAATGTGTTTTACTAATACGACGTTCAATCCGAATTGTATAAAAGAGTACAGTACTGAGTAAAACTATGTAAAGAAATAGATAAACTCTTGTATATATTTTTTGTTGACGAATACGAGTGTTATCAGTTGATTCTGTTTCGTAGATGTTGAAATTTTTAATTTTATCATAAATATTACGTGGAAAGTTTCTTGAACGAACACCGATTGAAGATGATCCTATAATGAATTATATATGAAATGAGATCAATATATTTTTTGTTTTGAATAGTACTTCAAATAAGCTGGTTCTGTGAGTCATAACATTCCTGACTGAATAATCTGAGGAGAATTATGAAAATTATATCAGTTACACATTCATAATCATCTTCAAATTTGGGCTTACATTCTCAATTTGGTTCTTTCGACTAATTTCTTTTTCAGTAAAATTCTTTCCTCGAAAAAAGACTTGCGAATGAACGTAGTTAACTGTCTTTACTTTACTTCTACGATTCTAGTGCTGTCAATAACTCATATTCAACTACCACATTATTATATCTCAATTGTAAGAGGCAAAAAAATGATCTAATTAATATTGAATTTTGAAGTTGATTAGTTTTAAAGAGAAATGCATACTTATAGTGCTAATTGATGTGTATTTATACAGTTATTATAATTTTAATTGAATTATTTCTTTGAAAACTAACTCTATCTATATCTTATCTCGTTGAGTATTTCAATATTTTCTCTAATCAAAACAAATAAAAATGATTTACCAATTAGTGGAACAAGTAGTCGAAGACCTTGGTTCAAACCACTGCAAATCGAAATAAGAAGAAATATTATCACGATATAAGTGCGACGTTGAACAACGGTATATGAGCAAAAACTAGGTTTACATGCTTTATAAAATCTATCGTAATATACATTTTTGGTTGTTTTTTCAAGTAGCATTTCACGAAGTAAATCCTCCGTAGTGATATCACCAAATCGAGTCGATATAGCTGCATTAAGAGGTTTTATATTTGGTGAAGGTCGAGCATGAATAACCATGGAATAAGTTGCTTGAATATGTTTCATATATGTAATATTGTACCACCATGCTGTTCTTGACATGAGAAACCCACTTAAAGGTGAACAACCAAGATATAATATTTTGAATAATAAATCTCTATAAATATTGTCAAGATATGATGTATTCATATATAATACAGGGATTGCATAGCAGGAATCAGGATCTGATCCACAAGTGCAGTGGTGCACAAACTGTGGAGAGCCGTCTGATGCGAAAATTATTATACGATATTCACAAAATTCAGTAATCACTTGACCATCATTGCTTTTATTTATAAGAACGTTTGTATTCAGTCCATTGTAAAGAGGACTATAAAGAAAAATAAGTTTCATCCAATTAAATGTTTGTACAAAATCATATTTTGTTGTACGAATAAATGAAGTTATCATAGCTTCAGTTTGTTGAAGAAAACTTGAATTAGATGGAACACGATCATTAATAAATTCAGTATTCATAAATACATGCTGTGCCTCTTCAATGTTTGTTTTAGCTAATGAACAAAAAGCAGCTAAAAGTTGAAAATAAGAAACACCCATTTTACGAAAATCTTCAGTATGTTTGAAGTTAATATCGAGCGGCAGGTGAGTCGGATCAAAAGATATCAGATAATGTATCCATTCTAATGAAACCAGATCACTTGAACAAACTTGGTGTAATTCAAATGTTACATCAAGAAAAACTTCATTGGGAATGGATATTTGTGAACAAGGACAGTGTAATGTGGTCGGATAATCATTATATAATTTTTCATAAGTATCAAGAGATGGATATGGAATTGTTATCACTTGATTTTGCTCTACAACAAAGGTGTATACTCCAGCAACAATTGATAAAATAACAATGAAAAAAATGAAAAATCTTGTTAGGAGTTGTTCTCGATAAATGTTCGTAGGTGTACGATGTGTTTGTTTTTCAAAAAGATTTAAAGATATTATTGCTTGCCATGATTTATTTAATAAAAGTCGAATGCGAATTTGTATACTTTGCTCTGAAAAGAAAATGAATGATAAATTCTTTTATCAAAATACAATACTTCTTATGTCTAAATATTCAAAACAAATCATTAAACTGATAGAAGATGCGTGATTCGAGTCATCAAACATACAGTACATCACAAACCATTCGGC